TAGAGAGGAGGCAAACAAAAATAGGCAGATAATGTGATACTAATGTCAGCATTTTCTTTCAAAATCTTTCTGCCTTTTTTCTCCCTCCACATTAGGCAAATGTTTAAAACCTAATTTTGGTATCTTATCATCTAATCTTGTTAAAGAGATTTACCCAGGAGTGGGATATATTGAGTGAGATTATAAATGCATTGTAAAGTAAATTGCAAGGTCAGGGCAGGGAGTCCATTATTCAGACAAGCGCCTGTGCGCAGGCTGGCTTGTTTTGGAATAGGAGTGTTTGGGGCTTCTGAGAAGACCTGGCCAGCTTTTCTTTCGGACTTGCCAAATGGAGGAATCATAATTGATTAACTCCTCATTCCCACTCTAGCCCATGTATGAATTTTGTTCCTTATTAAGAAGTTACTAGCCAATGCTTTCAGGAACTCCTCTGGCCCCTCTTTTAAGAGAGGGGCTAAAGTTTGTTCTGTCTCCTTTGTGTTTTATACACTGTCTTTTTTGGAATCCCTGGGAAATTTTCTTTTTCTCTCCTCCTGTCTTTTGCCCACCAACATTTGTGCCCTCTTTAATACTGCAGTTGACTGGTAAACTGTTAGTTACTCCCTTGGCGTGTATATGTTGTTGTTGTTTTTAAATTTAGCTATCTCCCAAAATGAATGATCGTGAAGTCAAGCTGGCCCCTTTTTGCCAAAGTGGCATTTACCACTCTCGGGTTCTTTTCAACGAGAGAGAAATAATGTGACTTAAGCAGGGCCCCTCTCCAGACGGCTTGGCTACTAGCCAAAGAGTTGACTAGCTGAACTGTGTCTTTCTGTTTCTTTCTCAACTGGAGCTGAGGCTCAGCCGAGGGCGCAGGATGTTGTATAATTTGGTTCACGTTGTTAGCCTCTCAAAATAATGAGGAGGAGGATAGTGTAGCATTTCTCAGCCTGCTGCTGGTCATGGTGCTGGCTGCTTTAACTGTTATTAAACTAGGATGCCGTGTCTGCGTAAGTTGGCACCAGCCTCTCCCCCTAACTCTAGGCTTGCATTTGTTTGACTGGGGCACAACTCCTCAAGGTTTGACATGGCCTTTTGTTTAAAACCGAATTAAATTTATCTTTTGAGATTTTCACGACATCCCTTGAGATAAAAAAAAATGAGAGTCCTCCTGGGGCACTGTGGAATCAGAATTGGGACTCACTGACCCTCACACAGGCTGGGATGTGAGAATGTTGCGAGTCTCTCTTCCATGGAATTATTTTTGAGAACCTTCTCATTTTTTAATAATATCAACAATTAGTGCATTTCAGGCTAAGATTAAAAGCATCTCTGGGGCCACAGAGAATTGTAATGAGTTGACCTTCTCTTTTTTGATATCTCCATGAAATGATTGCCTATTTAGAAAGTTCACCTGCCACCCAGGGGGGAGTGAGAACGATGGGATTTAGGGAGCAGGAAAGTTTCCCGTAGGTCATCTTGTCCAAGTCCCTCACTTAACAAATGAGAAAACGGGCACGAGATGAAATGGCTTCCCCAAACCACAGCTGGTGACGGACTGGAAAGTTCAGAAGACGTTGCTAAGATTCTCTAGACTGTAGGAATTGTCATTCTCAAGCTTGAATTGGTCTAGATCAGTGGTTTTCAACCTTCCTAATGCTGCGACCCTTTTATACAGTTCCTCATGTTGTGGTGACCCCCGATTTCATTGTTACAAATTGAACATAATTAAAGCATAGTGATTCATCACAAAAACAATATGTAATTATATATGTGTTTTCCGATGGTCTTAGGCGACCCCTATGAAAGGGTCTTTTGACCTCCCAAAGGGGTCGCAACCCACAGGTTGAGAACCGCTGGTCTACACTTTTCTGCTTTGGAGACTAGATTTAAAATTCCTAGAACTGCGTTAAATGGCAGGAAGACTGATTCGACAAGTATTTAATATTGGGCACCAACCACTGGATATGCCAGGCCCTGTGTAGGCACAGGGGATAGGTCAGGGAGGGTTGAGGCCTTGGGATTGGGAGCTGGGGGCAGGGAAGGCTGGAGGTGGAACATAAATAAGCGATTGCTGATACCCTCCTCGGTGATTAAACATTGATGTTGGTGTTGTATTATTTTGCAGGTAAAGATGAGCCCAGCAGCTACACATGTACAACTTGCAAACAGCCATTCACCAGTGCATGGTTTCTCTTGCAACACGCACAGAACACTCATGGATTAAGAATCTACTTAGAAAGCGAACACGGAAGCCCCCTGACCCCGCGGGTTGGTATCCCTTCAGGACTAGGTGCAGAATGTCCTTCCCAGCCACCTCTCCATGGGATCCATATTGCAGACAATAACCCCTTTAACCTGCTAAGAATACCAGGATCAGTATCCAGAGAGGCTTCCGGCCTGGCAGAAGGGCGTTTTCCACCCACTCCCCCCCTGTTTAGTCCGCCGCCGAGACATCACTTGGACCCCCACCGCATAGAGCGCCTGGGGGCGGAAGAGATGGCCCTGGCCACCCATCACCCGAGTGCCTTTGACAGGGTGCTGCGGTTGAACCCAATGGCTATGGAGCCTCCCGCCATGGATTTCTCTAGGAGACTTAGAGAGCTGGCAGGGAACACGTCTAGCCCACCGCTGTCCCCAGGCCGGCCCAGCCCTATGCAAAGGTTACTGCAACCATTCCAGCCAGGTAGCAAGCCGCCCTTCCTGGCGACGCCCCCCCTCCCTCCTCTGCAGTCCGCCCCTCCTCCCTCCCAGCCCCCGGTCAAGTCCAAGTCATGCGAGTTCTGCGGCAAGACGTTCAAATTTCAGAGCAACCTGGTGGTGCACCGGCGCAGCCACACGGGCGAGAAGCCCTACAAGTGCAACCTGTGCGACCACGCGTGCACGCAGGCCAGCAAGCTGAAGCGCCACATGAAGACGCACATGCACAAGTCGTCCCCCATGACAGTCAAGTCCGACGACGGCCTCTCCACCGCCAGCTCCCCGGAACCGGGCACCAGCGACCTGGTGGGCAGTGCGAGCAGCGCGCTCAAGTCCGTGGTGGCCAAGTTCAAGAGCGAGAATGACCCCGGCCTGATCCCGGAGAACGGGGACGAGGAGGAAGAGGAGGACGACGAGGAAGAGGAAGAAGAGGAGGAAGAGGAGGAGGAGGAGCTGACCGAGAGCGAGAGGGTGGACTACGGCTTCAGCCCGACATCATGCAGGGCATGGTGCTCAGCTCCATGCAGCACTTCAGCGAGGCCTTCCACCAGGTCCTGGGCGAGAAGCATAAGCGTGGCCACCTGGCCGAGGCCGAGGGCCACAGGGACACTTGTGACGAAGACTCGGTGGCCGGCGAGTCGGACCGCATAGACGATGGCACTGTGAACGGCCGCGGCTGCTCCCCGGGCGAGTCGGCCTCCGGGGGCCTGTCCAAAAAGCTGCTGCTAGGCAGCCCCAGCTCGCTGAGCCCCTTCTCCAAGCGCATCAAGCTCGAGAAGGAGTTCGACCTGCCCCCAGCCGCGATGCCCAACACCGAGAACGTGTATTCGCAGTGGCTCGCTGGCTACGCGGCCTCCAGGCAGCTCAAAGATCCCTTCCTTAGCTTCGGAGACTCCAGACAATCGCCTTTCGCCTCCTCGTCGGAGCACTCCTCGGAGAACGGGAGCTTGCGCTTCTCCACGCCACCCGGGGAGCTGGACGGAGGGATCTCGGGGCGCAGCGGCACGGGAAGTGGAGGGAGCACGCCCCATATTAGTGGTCCGGGCCCGGGCAGGCCCAGCTCAAAAGAGGGCAGACGCAGCGACACTTGTGAGTACTGTGGGAAAGTCTTCAAGAACTGTAGCAATCTCACTGTCCACAGGAGAAGCCACACGGGCGAAAGGCCTTATAAATGCGAGCTGTGCAACTATGCCTGTGCCCAGAGTAGCAAGCTCACCAGGCACATGAAAACGCATGGCCAGGTGGGGAAGGACGTTTACAAATGTGAAATTTGTAAGATGCCTTTTAGCGTGTACAGTACCCTGGAGAAACACATGAAAAAATGGCACAGTGATCGAGTGTTGAATAATGATATAAAAACTGAATAGAGGTATATTAATACCCATCCCCCCTCACTCCCACTTGACACCTTCTTTTTTCATCACCCCCTTTCCCCATCGCCCTCCAGCCCCACTCCCAGTAGGATTTTTTTTTCTAGTCCCATGTGATTTAAACAAGCAAGCAAGCAAGCAAACAAACAGAAGTAACGGAAGCTAAGAATATGAGAGTGCTTGTCACCAGCACACCTATTTTTTTTTTCTTTTTCTTTTTTCTTTTTTTCTTTTTTTTTCCTTTATGTTCTCACCGTTTGAATGCATGATCTGTATGGGGCAATACTATTGCATTTTACGCAAACTTTGAGCCTTTCTCTTGTGCAATAATTTACATGTTGTGTATGTTTTGTTTTTTTTTTAAACTTAGACAGCATGTATGGTATGTAATGGCTATTTTAAATTGTCCCCGATTCGTTGTTGAGCAAAAATGTTGCTGTTTCCAGTTCCGTTCTGAGAGAAAAAGAGAGAGAGAGAGAGAGAAAGACCATGCTGCATACATTCTGTAATACATATCATGTACAGTTTTATTTTATAATGTGAGGAGGAAAAACAGTCTTTGGATTAACCCTCTATAGACAGAATAGGTAGTGCTGAAAGAAAATCTCTATGAGCTAAATGTCTGTCTCTAAAGGGTTAAATGTATTAATTGGAGAGGGAAAAAAGGGCCTTGAATTGACAAATTAACAGAAAAACAAAACAAGTTTATTCTATCATTTGGTTTTAAAATATGAGTGCCTTGGATCTATTAAAACCACGTTGATGGTTCTTTCTACTTGTAATAAACTTGTAGCTTAATTCAGCATTGGGTGAGGTAATAAACCTTAGGACCTAACATATAATTCTTTCTTGTATTTCTCACAACAGTGGCTACCTAAAAATATGACCCATTATGTCCTAGTTAATCATCATTTTCCCTTTAGTTTAATCTTGTAAGCAAAACTGATTATACCAGTATAAAAGCTGTTTTGCTCCTGGTGAGAGCTTAAAAGAAATGGGCTGTTTTGCCCAAAGTTTTTTTTGTTTTGTTTTGTTTTTTTAAATGATGATTACATTGAATGTGTAATGTGCAAAGCCCTGGAATATAATTAAATACACGAGTAAGGAATTCATTTCATGAAGATACTTGTTTTAAATAATGTCTTTTAAAAAAAATTCTGGCCCCAGAAGAAATAGATCCAGATCCACTTGGTTGTCAAAAGGACAATCACACAATAAACTTCAAGACCTCGTATGCCATATTAAAAAGAAGAGGCTGACCATATGGTTTGACAGAGGATAACAGAGGGGGAAAAAGTGATTTATTAGCACAATGTGGTACTATTTGCCATTTTAAACTAGAACAGGTGTATAAGCTAATATTGATACAATGATGATCATGAATTCTTAAGATGCGTTGAAATGTGACATTCTTAAAAAAGAAGAGAAAGAGTTTTAAGAGTAGCAGTATATATGTCTGTGCTCCCTAAAAGTTGTACTTCATTTCTTTTCCATACACTGTGTGCTATTTGTGTTAACATGGAAGAGGACTCATTGTTTTTATTTTATTTTTAAATTTTTTCTTTCTTTTTTTTATTAAGCTAGCATCTGCCCCAGTTGGTGTTCAAATAGCACTTGACTCTGCCTGTAATATCTGTATCTTTTCTCTAATCAGAGATACAGAGGTTGAGTATAAAATAAAACTGCTCAGATAGGACAATTACGTGCACTGTACAATTTTCCCAGTTTACAGGTCTATACTTAAGGGAAAAGTTACAAGAATGCTGAAAAAAAAATTGAACACAATCTCATTGATGAGCATTTTTTAGAAAACTAAAAAAAAAAAACCTTTGCCAGCCATTTACTTGACTAATGAGCTTACTTACTTGGACTCAACATTTGCAAGCGCTGTGAATGGAAAACAGAATACACTTAACATAGAAATGAATGATTGCTTTCGCTTCTACAGTGCAAGGATTTTTTTTGTACAAAACTTTTTTAAATATAAATGTTAAGAAAAAAATTTTTAAAAAACACTTCATTATGTTTAGGGGGGACTGCATTTTAGGGTTCTATTGTCTTGGTGGTGTTACAAGACTTGTTATCCATTTAAAAATGGTAGTGGAAATTCTATTCTCTAGAATTGATTTCAAGGAGTTTTCA